AGGTTGGTACGGACGGCTAAGTGGGAAAGATTCGTACAGGCTAGCGTGCAAGAGGTCTGTGAAGGGCCTGCTTGCAAGCTAACGCCGTTCTAGATTTCACCCATCTCACTCTACCCTCTCGCAATAATATTTCGGAGCTCTATTTTGAATTGGAAGATGATGCCTAAGTTGTAACATTTCTATTTAAACTTAGCTCTCTAAACTTTTCATTTTGCTACCATTTTATTGGTTCAGCTTAATATTTTCCGAAAGTACACCTGTAGGTGTACTCGGTATTTAGTGGTCACTTTTCCAATACAACATTTAAACGGCAACTGAAATCAGTTTTGAATATTCTTTATTTGTTTAGGTGTCGACAATACATTACCTATCGAGAAAACAACACTCATATTCTTAGGCAGCCTGTGTGGCCCACCATTTGACAAACATACACTGAAGTCGATGGCACACTTGGCTTTGTCCCCAAGCCCTGTGGCATTTCCGTGGCATTCATCGGCTTCTTTCTTCCATGTTGCCTTAAAAGAGAATTCAGAATTACAGTGTTGTGCAGTGGATGATAAGTACGCTACGGTGGCAACAACTCTCATGAGCTCATGCTCTACTATGCAAATCAAGTAAAATCAGATAAATATATTTATGATTTTGATAAAAGCTGTGAACATTTTTCCACATGTTTAAAGACTTCACGCCCTGCCGGCTGCCATGTTAAGGCACTAATAGAAAGTTATATTTACACAGCAACCAGGTGGACAATCAGACGTGGTTTGATGCTATTCTGGTTTAAAGATCTAATGTTACATTAAATCTTTAAACCAGGGTAGCATCAAACCATGTCTACTAATAGAAAGTTGCGCGCAGATAAATTCTTAAAATATATTTACCACGTGGGGTGGAATGAGCTGAGCCATACAACCCTTGCAGGCTATACCAAACATTCCATGGCAGTCTTATCTGGTTGTTATTACAGCCATAAAGGTCAATTTGGCATTGCTGCAAGGAAACCAGATTAATAAATGTTAGAAAAACTGCTTTGAATGGAGTGCGCAATTCCGATCCTGTACTACCTGATATGCTCATTACTACGTAGTGTATTGCGTTTATAACTTTTAAATTTCTATCGAAAAAAGGAAAAATAAAAGGCTACAAACACTACCGATGTCTGATTAGTGATTCTCACTGCAAATGGGCCCCGACTCGGAGCTAGTGTTGGAGGCATAGGCTTCTCAGGGGCATAAGTCACAGGAGTAGGTCCCCCCCCATCCTTCAAACATTTGCCGTAATTATAAAAACAGGCAGCCTTTGCCTTTATTCCTTGTGCGTGGCTAACACTCCAACTGAAGTCATTGTCGCACAGAGTCTGGGAAAAAAGGATTAGATTAATCAGTCAACGTTTTAAGACAATCCTTGTTCTAAAGTATTAATTTCGAACTCTCAATTGGTCTTGCACAAGGACAATGAATTTTTATCTAGAAACTCTTCATTAAACACTATACCACTTGATCCTTGCTAGCGAAACCTTATGATGTCGAAGATGTGAACGATGGGGAAATACCTGAAAAGGCACGATTTGGTTTTGGAAAAAATAAATTAGTTGTTATTACCACATAGTATGGCATTGTAGGAACAAGAGCTACCATGCAGTCTTTGTATTTGATCAAACATTCCTTCGCGCTGCTGTTTTCGGCTTTGTAGCAGTTGTACAGATCTTTATGACAACCCTAAAGCAAAAGTAATTGCTAATAATAATTTTTATCTAGACAGCTTAAATGATATACATGCAGGAGGTAAAACCGTTTTAATCGTTAATCTTAATTGCAAAATGCCCAACGCGTGCAAACTTACTGTAAACTGACCGCTCCCGCTGTCGTACGTTGCAGTCATTGGACGCTTATCTGGGGAATAGGTGACAGGGGTCGGTCCTCCGTTCTTCAAACATTTGCCGTTTTCAATATGACATTCAGCCTTCGCTTTTATGCCTCGCGCATGACTTGTACACCAGGTTAGGTCCTTTTTACACAAAGTCTCCCAGCAAAAAAGATAAAATCACGACCACGTTATAGCATCGACGCCTCAAAATGCTGCACTACACTTGTTCGACAAAAAGTTTAGTCTTTCGACGAGTTAAGGCTGAAATTTCGCAGGTTTGTATGGTGTGCTAAAAAAATTCTTTTTTTGTGTGACATAGAGGACGAGAGGACGGAATACGACCTGCATTCTTTAGTCAAAGAGTGTCGCATTTAGGTTGGTAACAAAACAATATGTACCACTACGACTTACACAAAATGAGCGCAAATTCTGAAACGCATTTCTTATATTTCAGGTGGACTTTTCCTGAAAGTTCATCCGATTTGGTTAAACCCGGCTGACAAATGATATCCATGAGTGTGAGTGACGAATGCATTTTATTTCCCAGATCTAGAAAGAACAAAAACAAAAAAGGTTATGAGGGGCGAGAGAACTGGTCAACACTATTGCTTTTGGATATAACTGAAACTCGGGCTAAATAACGCTGTCTGAAATCAACCTGACAAAATGAAAGAAAACCATAAACGACTAAAGCAAACAAAAAGATGTGCTGTATTCACGTGGAACTTACCACAAGTAAGGCATAGTGGGTATAAGCGCAGCCATACAATCTTTATATTTCACCAGGCATTCCTTTGTGGTGCTGTTTTCCTGTTTATAGCAGCTGTAGAGATCTTTTTGGCATTGCTATAAAAAGGATTCGAAAAATATGCATCATAGAGAACCTTAAAATGTGTTGTTAAATGTTTCGCACCAAAACATTGGTTTTTCTTCAAGACCTGTCCATTGTAGTTGCGAGGAGAGAAGAGTTTCATGGGATAGATTTCCAGTTTTGTAAAACTAAAATTACACAGGAATAAGGATTGAGAACCAACAAAATTTCACGATATAAAAAGCATGATTTTTAAGAATTTGTTAAATTTAATAATCGACATGGCCCACAAGGAAACAAATTTCCTGCTTCATACCCCAGAATGTAGCTCACACTAAAACTTGTCTCACAAAAGGAAAGAAAATTCTTACTTGTTTTAGGTAACTACCGTCTTACTGTATTTAATCATATCAAATAATCTTTAGCTTTTAAGATCAAAAGCAATTTTTTTAACTGTAGATAGCAGATACAAGTTAAACTAGGCAATAGTGCGATTGTCATGAAAGGCTGTTATTTTCGGAGTAAAGTGTACAGATATTATTTTCAACTGTTTCAGAAGTGGGTGGTGATCGGGTCATCTTTTAAACGAATTGTTAGAGTCAGAAAGAAACTCATGCCCGGCCTGTTCGCTGATATGAAATTAAATAAAAAGTATCTCAGTTTATCGAGAATACTTCTCGTTCTCGTGATAATTGCCTTGTTTTGAGCTCATTTATGGCTGGAGTACCTCATCAGGCCCACCCCTTCCTCGATCGAAGAATCATCTGCAGTTGCTTCAAGCTGTTGTTATGTCATGTACATTGAAAGATGGCCTTCTCATGCGCTTCTCAATCGCGTTTGATTTTCATTTATTTCTTCGTTCTTCTTTTTCCTCTTCGAAGTCTAAAAGGGAGAATTATTGATTTGATGCAAATGTATCATTAGGACGTAAAGACAGCAGAGTGACAATAACTCTCAAGAAAGAAACAACAACTTTGAGTTTAAATTTACAAGACATGTTTCGACATTCCCATGTCATCTTCAGTTGCAAATGAGCAAATTTACAAATGTACAACCGTTAAATGCTCATTTGCAACTGAAGATGACATGAGAATGTCGAAACATGTCTTGTAAATTTAAAATCAAAGTTTTTGTTTCTTTTTTGAGGGTTAAATGTATCATTGGTTAAGAAACGATGGTGAATTTTGATGCTAATCCCGACGTTTCGAATCCCATCTCTGGTACGTCTAATATCAATGGAGCGAAATGGTAACAGATTGCACAATTGATAAAGGACATTCACATTCACGCCGTTTCTTCTTGTCGGTAGCATAGGTGATCCACTGTCGAAAGTTAGTGTGTTCCTTAATCGCGGGTATCCATGCCCAATTAATTTAGAGCTAATTTCACGATGCATCGTGCCAGTTATCGCTACTAGCGCGGTGTCAAATGAAGTACTCGATCATTATACGTGAGCGCTTCCGTCGTCGTTATTATTACTTGATGTTTTTGCATTATGGTCAGCTGTAACTTCATTAGGTTTGAAAAGAATCCCAACCCCCAATGTCTCCCTGCAAATCTAGATGTTGGGGCGAATTGGTGAGTGATTTATAAGATCATGGACGAGGTATTCTTAAACCTCAGCAGATCAGAATTAAGATACTTTCTATGTGGTAACGTCGGAATATACTATAAAGCTTATCGAAGAACGTGGCGGGTCCTTTTAACGACATTTTTTCAATCATCGCCAATATCGCTTTCGTCGCTCGCGACATTTCAGGTAACATCTCCATGAATGAGTGGTGTAATGAGAATTTGCGAGTATAATATTTGCATTGTATTGAGGAGCATTAAGGTTCAAAAACAATCTATAAAAAGTGAATAACAAAACAACTTCATATTTCGAATGTTCTTGTATTTCTATTCTAGTTAGGCACATCTAAAAACACTACTTCCAGCACTATTCAAATCATTCTTCCGTTGGTAATGGTAGAGAAGTGGTTGCCGCACCATTTTTGAGACATTTTCGGAGCTGTTTAGCGCAGCTGAGCCTTTCTATAAGAGTCCGAGCACCACCAAAACACTCCTTAGCCTCGCCAAAGCACTCTCAAGCCTGTAAATTCAAATCGGAAGAAAGAAAAAGAAGACAACAACAACATGAGTAATATAAAACGAATAAAAACTGACCTTTTCTTAGTTCCCTTTCAGGATATAGAATGATGTATTTTGAATTTAAATCTTAACAGTTCTAAGATGTATGATTTTGAGTTTTAGTAGAGGAGTCTATTCACGACATGTTCGGTCCCATGTTGGGCCTGTTACGATTGTGCTCGGAAACTTTTGAGCAACACTCGGCATTTGGAGCAACTTTTTGCAGTTCTAGCAACCTTCAGCAATTTTTGCCTTTCTAAACAATTTTTGAGAAAAATGTGCTTATATGTTTAAAGCACATATCAAGCACGAAAAAGTTTGTAAATTCATATGAAAACTACGATTTATGCAAGTTTCTTAAAATGTTTATCAACCTTTTGAACACAAATGAATGACGGGTTTTGTTCCGTTGGACTAAGGTATTCATTTAAATTTGGCATGTTAGGGAAATGTCAAGACATTTAGGCAACAACTATTAAAATTTAGGGATCACTTTTTTTGATTTTTGGTAATATTTTAGCAACTTTTTGGCCTTCCAGTGAGCAACTTTCCAGCATTTCAAGAGCACCATCGCGACAGGCCTACCCAATATCTAAATTTCAAATCTTCATTCTGTCTTTCGTAATAATTGCGAATTTCGTGTGTAAATTTGTATCCACTAGTTGAAGTCTTTCTTTCGTTATATCAGTAAGAATGATTCATTTATTGGTCACTCCTTATCGTGAACTGAAGGGGAGAAAACGACTGCTGAAGCAACAAATTCCCTACTTCGTTTCGAAAACATTGCACTTTGAAATCGATTGCTTAAATCATGCTCTTGTCTTCAGTCTCACCACATATACTGGTGCCAGTGCCTCGATACAGGCACCGTAATTAGCTGGAAAAAATCCCTTCGGCATTTCTGTGTAAAGTTTAAAAAAAGAGGAAATACAGAACTGCAACGCAGTTAATATCTCAAAGGAGCTTGAGGAAAATTCTTAGAGGCGTGGGTTTGGAGACTAGAAAGCCAAAAGTAAAAACTTAAACTTTATCATCATGGACGTGGTAAGGATTTTTCAAAGGGGAGGGGGGACACCTTATCACCCTATCGTACCTAGGGTATCTACCTGACTACCATGTTGCATCACCCAAAATTTTGTTGCATGGACATTAAGTAGTGCATAACTATAAAAGAAGAAGGGGCATTTTCCATTAATCACCCCAGGAAACCCCCTTTACCTCCTTGTCACACCCTTAAGACTAATTATATACCTGTTATCTGTGATTTGTACTGGTTCACGAGATTGTTATCAACTATTGTATTGACCCAAGACTAAGCATGAAGTATCGAACAGAAACTCACCGGGAAACCGTTCGAGTCTTCCATCTGTCCCATTTCTTCGATCGCATCGAAAGCAACTTTTTCGGGCTTTCCGTTTTTGATACACAAGAGAAGGTCCTTAAGACACCTTAGTTTCATTGCTAAGGTATTTTTATCTTTCACACACTGTGTGGCGTTGTTAAAACAGGTTTCCTGACAAAAAGAACGTTATGGCGATAAAATATGTAAATTACACATGGCAACTTTTAGTTTTTCTCTTCTCCTCAAGTGTTTTCAGTATCCCTTTCATTTGAACAACAGTTTCATAGTTAAACATAACGTTTTCCCAGATTATTGGTTCTCAGTAACCATAGAAAACCTTGAATCCTCACGGCTACGGCCACGTCTGTCATCGATCGTGGAGGTTTGTTATCAAACTGACAAGAAGCTAATACTTACCACAAATGGAGGTACTGTCGGCATCAGCGCAGAAATGCAGGTTTTATAATCTTTGAGACATTCGATGTTATCTTTGTTTCCCTCTTTGAAACAATTCCATAGATCGATTTTACATTGCTAGGTGTGTGATACAGATTATAATCATTAGAAAAACAAAATGGAGTAGTATGAATTCAGAATATATATAAAGAACTAACTAGCTAAATAGTTTGTTTTTATCTACGGCAAAGTTTAGGGAGGAAGTTTGGCAGATGGCTCAGCTAACTCCAAAGTGGCTCTCGGCCAATGATCAAGGAATGAAACGACTACGCTTTTGCCTTTGATAGCAAATATGCCAAAATGTAAATTATCATCGATCTTTGAGCCGTTGAAGTATCTTCTTCTTCCCTTTAATTAAGGACAGAATTCACCAAACGTTAGTTTTTGATTGTGTGTTGACTGAGGAACTACTCTCGCCTCATAATGGTGTCTTTCATATAGAAGAGCGAAGGTGATCTGTCCAATGCCTTTTCCTATAGAAGAATATCACCTACCCCATGGGAAATCTTAGTCCCCCCAGCTGTGCCCTATCATAGTTGTACAATGTCGTTTAATCGTTTACTAAAGCTACATCTGGTTTATTCTTACCAAAAATGGTGGCGGGGCTGTTGGTATCAGCGCGGACATGCAGGTTTTGTAATCTTTTAAACATTCGAGTTTGGTCGTGTTTCCAAGTCTGATGCAGTCATACAAATCGATGCTGCATTGCTAAACATAAACAAAGAAGACAATTAGTAGGATTAAGATAATTATCACGTTCGAGAATTTTGCTATAGTTTTGATTATAACAATAGTAATAATGATAATAATAAATTGAGGGATACACGACCGAAAAGAATAGAACGAAAAAGGGCAAATGAGACGTTTTCTACACTTAACTGTACACATTAGAATAAAGGTTGATAGTTTCTAAAGAAACTGTTTGGCGCTGCGTCGGTGGGGGTAACGAAATAATGTGAATATATCAACAAAGTTGAAATGGTAAATTGGCCACCGTTACGGTTATAAAAGCTGACGTTTCAAGCGTGCGCCCTTCGTCGGAGCGAATAGAGGAATTGTGGGTTGTTTGTGCTTTTAAAGGCAGAAAATGGTTATGCAAGAGAAATTTGGTAGATAGAATATGATTTATTCGAAACCAGCAATCAACCAAGATAACTTTTTTTCTCGCATTTTTAAACATTGGCCTCTTTAGGAAGAAAATTTGCGGGGCGTGAACTCATGCTTACCGCAATTGGGTGTCGATCAGGAATCTCATCGTCTGCTTCAACATCAAAAAGGTAATCATTAAGATTATTGGCATGAAGGCCAACAAAGAAAGAGGCAAAGAGTATCAATGCCAAAAAAGAGTTCATCGTGTAGCTAAAGGTGTCCTTGCAATCCTCTAAAAGTCTTAGCTTGTGTTATGGTGGACCTTTGAAAAACAGTGCCCTTTTATATATCTATTTTTTGTTTTAGTTTTAGAAAAAAAACAAATGGGGTATTGACTTTTGCGGTAAAAATTACAGTTTACTCAGCGGGTTAGTCAAGCTAAGGTGTGAACAATGAAGTTATTGAAACCTTTTTTCGTGGATTGCAAACATTTTGAACAAAAGAATTTTTGCTGGTTTTCAATTGAATCAGAAGACTCGTTTATTGAAGCTCTTCAAACAAATCGTAATGTGAAAACGTTCTCAGAAACACCGACTCACTGTTCCTGTTTGCTGGGCATTTCGGAACCACGGCGATAAAACATGACAGCAAACAATAGCTTTCAGAGCCATCGACTCTCTGTTATTGTAATTTCAGCCATCAAGCTTAAACTTTGCGGTAAAGAAACTAGCAGTCGAAAGACAAACAGAACCACATCAGCTGAGAGAAAAAAAAAGGTGGGTGGAAGTTCTTTACTGTTCCTTTTCAAACAGTTTTTTCTCCGTGACAAAAGATGCCCAAATATTGCGGCAGGTGATTTTATGACATCTCTTTGGTATTTGGTTGCTAAATCAAACCCTTTGCGAAAGTTAAAATAGGAAAATAGCGCTATGAAAGTATTAAAATTATATGATTATTGGCAAAAATATGACTACAACCTTTGGCGGTAGGTGCGTCACATGATTTCTTGGGTATTTCTAGACCTATCAGTGACGAGAACGCGTTTTCATCGAATTTTTTTTTAACCTAAATATCAATAATGTGTTTATGAGGAGGTTGTGAGTGTGAATTGCCACAAAGAAACATTTTCAACCCTATGTCTTAAGTATGGGTGGCTTGAGCCTGACTCTTCCTCTTGACTAAACCAAAATAGTAAGATCTCAAAAAGCGAGTTTGCTCAGTTGATTGGAATCTAATAAGAAGCCCTTAACTGAGTAAGCCAGAGGATGCTAGCAATAGATGCCAGTGAAATTAATTACTGTGAAACCCCAATGTGGTGTAGGTCATGGAAAACAGAGAAGTTTCTGGTTTTTATTACTAGCAACAAGTGAACTTTGTAACATTTCAGTAAGCTGGCACCCAATAATTCCATAGGCATGATTTGCCCTGTTGCAATCAAACTGCTCCTCCATTGTCAGAACCATAGCATCGAATGAGCTTCTTACGACACATATCGCGTCCTAGACGTTTATAGCAAGTAGACGTTTTATAAAGGTCCCAGCATTTTCCCTACGAACAACCAAACAACCGTGAATAAATAAAAAAATAAATACAAGTCGAGATACTTGAATTAAAACAGAGTCTGAATTCCAAATAGTTTGTAATCGACAAGAATATTAAGACATGTAAGAAAGCCTATGTAAATGACAAAATGATAACGAAAATTTACTGCCATTGTACATGTATGATCTTCTCGTTACTTTTTTTATTCCCTTCTTTAATTTTTGCTTCAAGAGTAGGCATAGTAACATATATTCTCTTGAGATTTACTCAATGAAAGTTAGGCTGTAATAGTGTAGTTGGTTCGAGCATTGCTCTAGGTCAATCATCAATAAGCGAATTGTAAGAGCAAAGATTTACCAACCGTGTATTCATTTTAAGATTCTTATCAATAAAGATTTAGAAATGCAAAGACTAGCAAAAACTAACGATAAAAACCGACGTTTCGGTGTCATCATGACGCCATTGTCAAGGAGAAATAAAAAATGAAGTTTGTGGCAAGGTGTAACACTAAATTAGCATAAATATGTTACGAGCTAATTAAACAAATACTTTTGCGCGAATTGAATCGCTTTGCACGTTCAGAGTGGGTTTTAAGTCTCTGATCAAAAGCATTTCGTTCACCAAACAATCGAACTTGTTACTACACTTTTTCACTACCACGAACGGCACAGCGAAGTCCCGAAAGACCTACTGAAACGTTTTAGCATTCTGAAAAAGTGTAGTAACAAGTTCGATTGTTTGGTGAACGAAATGCTTTTCATCAGAGACTTAAAACCCACTCTGAACGTGCAAAGCGATTCAATTCGCGCAAAAGTATTTGTTTAATTAGCTCGTAACATATTTATGCTAATTTAGTGTTACACCTTGCCACAAACTTCATTTTTTATTTCTCCTTGACAATGGCGTCATGATGACACCGAAACGTCGGTTTTTATCGTTAGTTTTTGCTAGTCTTTGCATTTCTAAATCTTTATTGATAAGAATCTTAAAACGCGATAATCAGCTACATTTGTTCAGGAGACTTGAACAATGCAGCAAGAAACAGATTAACTGCGATGGCTCAATC